ACTACATTTTAAAATTCTTATAATTAAAAGTGTGGTTAGTGTGTGTAAGGAATCCTCCTTAAAGAGGACTTCCTTGACTGGCACCATTAGTTTGGAATACAGAGAAATTACACTACATATGGCAGAGGCGGGCAACTTGCCCACCCCTGACCTAGGCTAATAGAAGCAAAACCAGAAACTGAATCCATGCAAAATCAATGAGCTATAACTGCCATACTTCTGCCAAAGCTGACACAGTGTACAAGGTGCTGTAAGTGTCTTGATTGTCTTTGGCCTACCACTCCTAATCTAATCTGACTAATGCAGCCACCTTCAGATTTTTTTGGCTTTTTTTCTTAAAGCGCGTGTAATCCCAACTGTTAGTATAGGGCCAGACCTATAATTCTTCTCACTGTAACTTTCTCTTTTATGCCTCTTGTCTATATTTCTTCTTTATCTATTTTTTCCCTTTCCCAATTCTTCTCCTTAAAAAACAAACAAACAAACAAACCTTTAACAACAGACACAACCTTTAAACTGGACCTTGACTTGGGCAGTCCTAACAGTGGATGTCTTCCAAATGCAGGACAGCCCTCTGGCAGCCATCGGATGCAGGAATGTCCTCTTTAAGGATGACAAAGGCTCACCCTAAAATTAGAGGGGTGGGGGATTGTACTGTGGCTTGAAAAACACAATTCCCTGCAGCAAGCAGGGATATTTTTGAAGAGCAGAACACACCATTTCATATACTTGCAAGTATGTAAGCAGAATGAGCTTCCTGAAGACACTTGTATGGTGTCTACATTCTGTTTCGTCCAGTGCCAGGTGAAGACCTTTGTATTTCCCCAAGGATTTTAGGCTTTTAATCACTGCTGTTGTAAATCTGTCAGGGCACAATCCATCTGGGGCACCTGCAGCCCTCCAGATTTGGAGGGTTTCAGGCATCCTATGGAAGGCAGGAGTTGCCTGGAGGGAAAGATTGCTTTTGTGCTGCTCTCAGTCCTCCAGCTCAGATGGCTGATTTTGGCCAGCTCGCTGAGGCACTTCAGAGCCTGCAGGGCTGGACGCATTCCTCTGCTTCTCAGCTCCCTTCCCACTCCCTAAATCCCAGCTCCAAGATTGTTCTTACAACCTTCCAGATATGGTCAATTAGTTTCTTCAGGGTTGAGGAAGAGATCCAGCTATAAGGCCAGAGAGATTTTCTAACCTCAAAATTGGGTCCTGAAATATCCTACAGCCATCCAGACACTGTGTAAACAGCTGTGGCATTGTGCTGTTACTATATTTTAAACCGTGCTTTGCTGCCAGGTTTTAGTTTTGGTTTTTATTTTTATTGTATGCTGTACACTTCTGAACTTTTATATCACATCTTATATTATCTTTTATGGTTTTAATTGTTGTGAACCACTGAGTAGGGAAGAAATAAAATAAATTAATTAAATAAAACCCGCTTTCAAGGAAATGCACTTATGAATTAAGCCTTAATTATTTTTATCTCGGCACTGCAATAGGTAAACTGCTTAATCAAGCAAAGACTCAGTATGGATCACAGTCTACAGCAGATGCGCTGCAGAATGAAATGAATCCAGTTTCCTTTGAAAAATGCCACAGAATTAATTTTAACTATTGAAAACTGAGCTGGGTGCAATATAATGAAACAGCACTTCATACACACATGCCATAACTCTCTGATGTTAGTGAAAATTTTAAAAAAGTCTTCAACTCTGCATAATAGCCAACAGTCAGCATTAGAAAGTTGTCCAAACTCCCTAATTGGCAGCTGTTTCCACCCTGCTGTAGGATTTCAAGGGTTTTACATCTTTAGATGGCAACTCATTTTAACTGGCATCTGCTTTTCTTCTCATATCTCCATCTGTCCAAAACAGTGAAATGTTTCCAGCACAAGCACAGTGGCCCAAAAAGAATAATTGAGGTAGCTCCATTTCACTGAGCCATACTCAGAAAAAAACTGAATTAAGGAACAAACAAACCACTCCAAATACAAAATCAAACCCACTCTTTCCCACAAAACTACAAAAATTGCATATCAAGTTACATATCTTGCTTTGCTGAGTATGATTTCATTGCAGTAAGTAAGAACAAACATGTCATTCAATAATAATAATGGACACAACTGGAATTTGATGTGTGTCAATTAATTTTATATCAAAAATTGAAATGTGGCTTCAGGCCTGGTTATGGGACAGAGAGTGCTGCAGTCATCTTGGAAGACAATCTATGCCAAGAACTGAACAGGGGAATTGTGTCCCTGTAGTTTGGTTGGAACCCCTGGTCGCTTCGGGTACCATCAACCATGGTAATCTTCCGAGGCACTTGTCTGAGATGGGACTGGGAGACACTGTTATATGGTGGTTCTGGTCCTTCTTGAAGCAGCAACTTCAGAAAATGTTGCAGGGGGATTCCTCTTTGATGCTCTGGCATTCCTCAGTGTTTCATCTCATCCCCCATGCTTTTTAAAATACATGAGAACTGGGAGAGATTTCTCAAGTCTGAGGGTCCAGTGCCACCTTCAGACACCCAAGTCTCTCTCTTCTCATTCTCTTTCTCTGTCCCAGCCTGACCTCAGAGCAAGTTCCTGAAGTTGGAGCAGTGGCCATCTGGAAGTTGCCTCGTGGCCACAGGGTTGTGTTATAAATAAATAATGCAGTAAAGAATCTGGGATTTGCATGTGTGTTGATTGCAGTAGCCAGTGTTTTTGTAAAAAAAAAAAAAAAAAGATGCCGGAACTCACATCTTGTTAATCTTTTATTTAAAAAAGTATATATTCAGTTCTTAATATTCTGGCCTTTTTATTAGCACGACCGGTGGTTGAGAATTAGTAATGTTTTTCATTTTTAAATTTGGGGTCACACTTTTACACTAAAGATTAAAAAATATTTTCAATTCACCAACTTTTTTTAAAATAAAGAAATTATTTACCTTTCGCATGTAGTCAGTCACTGTAATGAAACATAATGTTTGCCGCCTGCAGTAAGCACTCAGCGCATGACCACATGACCAACCACAAGCCGAGCAGCATCACAAGCCAAGCAGCACCATCACAACCAGCGCGGACACACAAGCAGCCTGCATGCACCATTTTAATGATTTTGCCACCAACCTGCTATGCCCGACAGGGCAATTCAAATTCATGTGGAAAAATCTGTTGAAAAAAGGTGCCGGAACGTTGTTCCGGTGCGTTCTATGACAAAAAAAGCCCTGGCAGTAGCCAAGGGCATGGTGTGATGCATCCAGGTGCACATCAGTGTGTCAGATTATGAATTCTTGTGTCAAAATTTCTCCTGGCTCTATCAGTCTATAGAGCTGCATTAGACAGGAACTTTAATTCAAAGGTAGTTCCAGAATGGGAAGTGCTACAGGCAGCATGTCTGTTTCCCCATCATTTTCTAACACTGTTGGTAAAGTTGGACAGCTATTTACACATTTTTTCCCTTGGAGAAAGGTCTATCTGTCTTCCCAGCTAACTGCATAATGTGGGATACATTTATGGCTTAGATGTAGTAACTCTGGGGTTGTTGCTAAAACTGCAGTCACCAATAAGAGAACACAACTTTCAGCTGAAATAAGATGTTGCAAATATTTAAACATTTGATTACAGTGATGATTAAATGCATTTATAGCCCACTCTTCCACTTACGGAGAAGTCAGACAGCAATAAAAACACAGTCTAAGAATCACATATTAAAACTATAAAAATTAAGCAAATAGAATTTTGAAAAGCATTGATACAAAATGGTTTAAAAGAACCAGGATATATTCCAGTTCTACATATTTATGATAATTTATGTTACTATTAAAATGTATGCTTTTAAAGACAACAAGCTAGGCAGCTTTTTCCTTAAGGACTATCAAATCTGTCCCAACCATTTTGTTTGCCAAATGTTGAGCTTGAAATGTTTTAAACAAAACTCAAACTTAGCATGTGAAAATTGCACCAACAATGCCCTCTCACCCCTGTCTTGGAGAGGCTGTGGGGAGTGAGACACACTACTGCACAAGATAAGATTGAGTCTGGCTACTGATGAGGTATACATGATTTGAATAAATAAATATATTGCAACACTTTGGAAATCAATATTAACCTCTATCCTGGAAAGAAAACAACAAGCAATCACATTTTTCCTTTATTAGCATTTTCTTTAATATATTTAAACTCCAGAATCTTCAGAAAGATCTAAGGATCTTCTAGTTTGCTGTTGCCAGAATGAACACTGTAAAGGACGGAAGCTGCCACTGGGCTCCACAACACAGGCTTAGCTGATACGAATTTGGCAAGCAGTGTTTGCAGAAAAATTAACACATCACAGCAGATACCATCAAAGAAGATGGATTTCTGGAAACTTAGTTTTCATGTCTCTCTTAGCTTAACAAAGAGTAGTTCAAGAAGAGGCTTATATTGAGGAACCACCCCACTTCCTTCACACAACTCTGCCAAGGGCCTTGATGTTGCTTTCTCCACTTTCCCAACATGCTTCTGTCTTAGGAGTTTTCTGCGGTTAATCCGTTGCATCTACTTTCAGTTTCCTTGAAGAATGGGGATTCAAGAGCTATATGAAGAGCATTCCCTTTCCTGCTTTCCCACTGCATGCCCTCTAGAATTGTGGCACAGTAGAATAGCACAAACACACAAGTATGGAGTGTGCTTTCTTTCCACTATTAGAAATAATGCTCTCCCCCATTTCCATTGCTATATATATAAAAAAACTCACTGAAAATGCTGTTTAAAACAGAGGCAAAACTGGGTGGTCATAAGGTCCATCTAAAGAATCCAGAAACAGTATGATGAATGTCAAATAAATGCTTCATACTGAAAACTTTTCTCTTACCAGAAAAAAAAAACCTTGAATGAGGAAAAGCTAGAACACCTGCAAAATGGGATGGGAAGGGAAGGGAAAGGGTGATCCCTGAATCCATTCAGCCCCCACTCCATGCATTCATCTCAGTCAGACTCAAATGCGTATTACTTATATGTTTCAGTAGTACAGGAAAAATCCCCTTACCTGTTGCTTTTTCAGGATTGTTACACATGAAACACTGCCAAGCCCCTGTTTCCTCACTGTAACCAAATAAATCAAAGAATCTCACTTCTTCCAGATGGATTTGTATATGGTCCAGATCCTAGGTAAGTAACAGAACAGAGACACCCCAAACTCATTAGAAACTTCTTTGGCTGCAGTACAATTTAATGCCTGTAAAAGTAAAGTAATCATGTTAAGCACTTTTTAGTGATGGGATATGAAAGTACACAAACATTTATAAGGTTTCAAGATTAGATTCAAGCTTTCAGTCCTGCTGAGAATAGCAATTTCTGTGTAGCATCATTAAAAAAAAAATTAAAAACTTCGACCACAATTCTCTTACCTTAAAAATCTTCAATGCTAGTGAGAATCACCTACCTCCTAGAATTAATAAGTGATAACAAGATTTTCTACACAAGCCTGGCAATTGGCTGCTGCATCTGCTTTCAGTTTTGTTGCAGAATTGTTACTGTATTTTAATATCTGTTTTATGGACTGTTGTAAACCACCCAGAAAGCTTCAGCTGTGGGACAGTATAGAAATTAGCAACAACAACAACGATCTATGAAGAACATTTTCTTTTTGCGACATAACCTCTAGTTGGCACTGCGCTATAATGGAATATGCAAATATGCAGTGAGAGCCAGTGCGGTGTAGTGGTTAAGAGCATGGGACTGGGACTCAGGCAATCTGGGTTCTAGTCCCCACTCAGCCATGGAGCCAACTGGGTGACTTTGGGCCATCATAGACTCTCAGCCCAACCTACCTCACAGGGTTGTTGTTATGGGGATAAGATGGAGGAGGAGAATAATGTAAGCTGCCTTGAGCCCTTTGTAGGAAAAAGGCAAGATATCAATCAATCAATCAAAATACATATCAGAAAACTACTCTTTATTTCATCTTCATGATTAAATGTGGCATTTGATGTAAAAGAGCTCTCCAGAAGTGTTTCTCAGACACGGAAGCAAAACTTGAGCTTCGTAAGGAACCAATAAACAGCAGTGATGCGGACATGATACATATCTCTTGTAGAAAGGCCTAGAATGGCAAGACATGCATGCTGCTTGGAGGAAGGGAGAGAGAAATATGTGATGTGACAATAATGTTAAAATAGGAGGATGAGATATTTGCAAATCAAAGCTAGCAGGAGTTTCATGATTCATCGATCCGATAGCTTAAGACTCTTTTCTACCCAGATAATATTCCTATGACACTTACTTGAGACTAAACCCAATTGAACAAAATGGGATTTCCTTCTGAGTAAGCAGGTGTAATCATGGTTTTGGTTGCATATTCATTCAAAAAGGAAACTGTTGCTAAATTCTGGTGCAGGCATTTTTATTCTTTCACCCATGTAAATTTGAAATTTACACAATAAGTAAGTTTCTTAAAAAGTAGAACATACCCTAGTGATTTCTGCTGAAAAAAAAATGCAAGTGAATGTGGCCAAATTAGTGCATATGGGTCAGATACTTGCATGTTTATATCAGCTTGCAAAGAATGCTGTGCTGTCTTTGTCCGTATGTACATGCCACAGAAAATATTTTTATTACATAGTTCCAATTTACTGGTAAGCAAAATGCTTCCAGATGTATTTATTTCCTCACAGATTTCCGGTCAAATGCTTCATGGATATTTATGAAAGGACATCAGCTATGTTACATTTAAAACAAAGAACCTTTTTGCAAATCATTGCAAAACCATTTCTATTGAGTTATCCTGTCACTTGTCAGAACAAACAATACTTTATGTACTTTTAGAGGTCAACCAAGTCTGACTAAGAATTCCTATTTCATTGCTTAATTAGGAAAAAACTGTGAACAAGTTCTTTGCGGGTGAGGGGACAGCCTTGCTGTTTTGGCTCTCTCTAGTATCAGTGCAATGCTCCATTTGTCATTTTCAGCTTTTGTAGATGAAACATTGCTCGGGTGTTTGGTATTCCCTACTCCTGCTTGTTTATGGGTTCTGTAGATCAGCGGTTTTGAACTGCTGGTCCGTGGACTGGCACTAGTTCCCCAGGAGTTTCCTGCTGGTCCATGAAAGACCCGCATCCAGGGGCTGGCTGTGTTCTCCCTGAAGATTCACCACCTCTTCCTTGGCCAAGGAGGTTGGGGAGGGGAGAGACAGCTCAACAGGAGCCAGCTGGGAGCCACACCGTGCTGGATCCACCCTCTGGGAGGGACCCTGAAGACTGGGTCTTTTTCTGCTGTGCTGAGGTAATGTTGAGGCAGGGGTGTGTTGAGTGTGTTTTCTTAGCCAATCTGTGCTTGTGTGTATGGGGGTTTGAGTGGTGGGGTTAGTTCCATTTCATTATTTAACTTTATAAATATTAATGTATTAAGTAGCTTTGTTTGATTTTGTATTGCTCTGCTGGTACTATTGTATTTGAATTTGTATTTGCTATGAGTATAGTAAGGAGCTTTTCAGCCCTGTCACTGATAAAAACCAAGCAGAGAAGCAGAATGGATGTCAATGCAGCACTTTGTCTCTCGGGAACAACTGCAGCATTCTTGAAAACTACAACAAGGACTATGCAGCATTCTTGAAAAGAAGCAACAGCAGATCTCACACTAGCCTTATCTTAATTAAACATTGCTCTTTAAAAAATTCAGTTGCATTCGATTCCATTTAATTTCAACATTTTCTTTTATTAGCAATTTATTGCTCAATTTCTGGTTATTTTAGAGAATTTTTATTTTTTGGTATCATATTTAAAAACCAATACACAAAATATTACATTATGTATATAGTGCTTGTTATTCCAGCCTCAGTGGCCCCTGAAATAATTTTATTTTCGCTGGTCCCCAACTGTAAAAAGGTTGAAAAGCATTGCTTTGTGCAAACCTCCAACTTTGTCTAATGAGCACTTTCTGCAAGTTTTTAGAGCAGGGGAAATGTAGCATTTAGTTATGAAAGTGAAAGAAAGCACTATTTCCACTTGTGTGTTTATATTATTCCTCTATCCCACAGTGCCATCTAGAGGTTCTGTACCAGAAAAAGAAATGCCCTATACTGGATCTCAGTTGTGTGATGAAACCAAAAGGGGATACAGAAGTTTAATGGCCAGTTCACAGCCTTGGGTAGAAAAACTCTGAAAGATTTTGCTCTAGAACAATTCCACATTTAATTTCATAATTCACCTTGCTGGATTACTTACAGGAGTTCTTAAAAGGGCACACATTTGTTTCCTTGATGTCAGAGAGATCTGAAAAGATATACTTGCTCTGTGTTCCACAAATAATATGATATCTCCATTGTAGCAGGTCATCAGCAATAAAATGTGGTGCTTGCAGGGCCATTAAGGCCAAGCTTTGGCTTTAAGGACTGAACCTCCACTTTAGACCCTACACTGTAAAACAGAGTGCTACAGTGTTTGGGACCATGGACACGTCTAGTCATTTGAGACACTGTCCTGAACACTACCACAAAAGGGCTGCCATAGGAGGTGTGGCAGAGTGCAAGTAACCTGCCCAAAGACTGGTCGTGTGTAAAAGGCTGGCTCTCAGGAAGCGTCTAAAAGATGGCTGTAAAATGTGGGTGTGCCACAGGTGGCCCATGGACGACATGTGACTGCAAATTTTGTGGCCTCTGCTGAGTTCCCGCATTATTGCGCTTGCTGCAGTGAGAAAAACCCCAAACTGATTTAATGGGGAAGGGAGGAAGGTGTATGGGGAGCAGACACATCATTTGCAGGCAGAATTGCATGCCCCGAAGCCTCCCAGAATGATGGTTCTTCTTTGGGGAAAAAGTGACAATAGCAAAAGTGGGCTGCAGCCCCCAGTAGTTTCCCGGATGCAAAGTTGCACACCCTTGTCTAAAAACTTTGCTCACTAATACTTCCTGCGCATGACCATGCAGATGCCTATGGAGGAAAACAACCCACTGGAGAGCAAAGGAAGGGCAATTCTGACTTGAGCTTATCCCTTGCTGCATCCTGCTCCTGGCAGTACAAGGCATGCATGCATTCGTCATGGGCACAGAATGTCGTTTTGGTGCACCTGTCCAAATGATGCTGCATGTGTAGCTGATGGGAAGGCAGATGGGAAGAACTAGTGTGAGATCTGAGTTGCAGATTGAGCCAGGCAGTTCATATCCTTCCAGTGACATTCAATGAATAACATTGGTTCTGCCCCTCCCACTGTAAAATAGCACTATTATTTCTTTTTTTGATAAAACAGTTGTACATCTGAATAAAAGTATATAAAGAAAATTTCACAGTGGAACCTCTGTCAAACTGGTGTGCAGTAATATATGGCATGAGATCCAGAAAATATGTCTCCAGGCTCAGTTGAGGGACAAAGGTCAGTGGTAGAACATATGCTTTTCTTACAGGAGTCTCCCAATTCAATTTTGACAGCTTCAGCATGTGGTTCTTAGGAGCCTACTCACAGATAAGTCACAAAGGGTCATATACTACCATGAGGTGTACTAGATTGGAGCCCCATAGGGTTAGGATTGCAGGCAGCAGTTCAGGGAAAGACTTTTGCTTGAAAAAGTGGAGGGCTACAGCTAGTTGGCCAGTATTTGACAAGCGGGATTTGTGCCTGTGTACAAAAGCATATCTATTTGTCCAATGTCATTAGCTAATATTCAAAAGATGGAATGGGGTAGATTGTCAAGGTAGACTTGACAAAGGGTGACTGGCCAACGTAATCCAGTGAGCTTCTGAGCTGGGAGAAGTTATGAACCATGATCTACTCAAGACTGTTCCACTAGCTACTATCCCAGGCCGTCTCTTAATTACATGGATACTTGACTGCTCCTCTGAAGAGCTCAGAGAAGCTCACAGGTGGCTTCTGGACAGCTTCTCATCCAAACAGCTTACAAAACTGGATCTGCTTATCATCAGCAGGCCATATGCATCCTGATCATTCTTTTTTCACAAAGTCTACAGCACCAAACCAGATGTGATGCAGAAGATTCATGAATGGATTTCAAAATATTGAAAGTAGTCACAGATTCTCCCGTTTGGACTACAGAATTTGAGGAGGTGTGTGCTAAACATTCCTTCACAGCAGTTTCCCCCATTCTGGTACCTTCCAGATATTTCTGGAATTCACCTTCCCTCAGCCCCAGACAGCATGGCCAGTGCTCAGCAAT